GCATAGGGTTCCTCATATACTATATTAGAAGGTGGTCAGAGTACAGCCCACAGTTTATTACAATAATTGTGGGCTGCACCCTGACCACCTTCTAATATAGTAAAGACAGTGTTTCACTGGAGTAGCAATAGACTAAGTAAATAGACTTTTGCAGTGTTATAGAAGTATGAATAGTATAGGCCATGATTATCTTGTAATTATCAAGTTTCTATAATCTCCATTAAAGTGGAAGTGGTACTAGGAATTTGGTCCTTTGGTATAGAGACTGCCAGGTGTGACCCAGAAGCACTCTCTCATGTAATCAGCCTACACCCAAGTAATTTTTTTTGGAGATCCTTTTTCTGCTTTCTTTCTCTCAGATGCTTTCCAAGATGTTGCCTTTGATGTTGTTCCTGTGGAATACAGGGATGCTTGTTTATGCCATGCAGAATGAGTCTGCCATCCCTGTGAAGCTATGGGCCTGTTCACCAAAAGGAGGAGGAGTTGAAGCAAAATTGCTGTGCCGCATGCATGGATTGTATGCCAACAGATCCAACCCTGGGGTGTTCCAAAGTCTGTACATGTTCCATGCTGCCTCAGACACAGTCAGCTGCCATTGGAGAGACTTAGCCAATTGCACTCTCAAAGCCAGTGGTCAAGTTGGACAGTTTTGCTATAACATGCAGGCAGACAGTATTCGTATTCCTGTTTCTTGCCGTCCTTTAAGAACACAGTTGGACTCTCATTCAACCAGAAGCAGCAGCACCCAGGACAGCTCATGCGATGTTGCTCTAATTTCTGCTGCCTTATGGAAACCTGGTGCACCTCTGCACCTGAGAGCTATTGTTGGGACCCAAACTGCTAGGTTTCCAGGAGATCAGTTGTGGTTGTCCTTGATTTCACCCTCTGGAAGGAACATCACCCACCTAATTGTTAATTGGGAATCACAGGAGTGGGAATTAAAGAGAACTGACTTAATTAGGCAGGGTCCCCCAGATTGGGTGATACCAATTGAAGGGACACACTGTGACCAGCAGAAATCCTCTGTTAAGTTTAAATTCTATGGACATATCTCCATCACAGAAGAAATAAGTGAACAAGGCATGTACAAGGTTGAATTGGGCTCTCAAAACAAAACAATGCTTAAATTCAGCCCTCTGATCATAGACCTTCTTCCCCTCCGCCACATGACAAATCCCATTGTTGGTTCTCATGTGCTGAAAATGGATCAACCTGAGCAAATTGTCATGCAACCTCAGACTTCTCTAAAGGAAGTGCAGATTCATTTCCAAGGCTTGAATGTGTCACAAAGAGTGCCCCAATGTGCCCCCTTCCTTGAAGTCAGCCACAAAGGATGGCTGGAGTGGGTTAAAATGTGGGCAGGAGTACACCATGGAGAAAGGGTTAAAAGGGAATTGAAAGATTGGCTTGGTTCCCTTGGTGCAGGAATATCTATTATAGATGCAGCCAATATAGAAGTGCTAGCTAATAAACTTTCATATTCAACAAAGCAGATAGGGAAACTGACTGCCCCATTGACCAAATCTCTCTTGCAGCTCACAGAACAACCACAGGCAATCAGTAAAGTGCTCCCAGTCTGGGAAGGAATTTTAGAGAATGACAATATTTTGATAGTCTCTGGAATCCAGTCCCTTCAAAACAACGTTTCCCTGGCTCTGGCATGTGAACAAGCACAAGCAATCACACAGAATGTAGTCATGGGAATGGTTCGAGAGGCTAAAGCAGGAAAAGTTCCCATGGAGGTAAGGAATTTAATTTGGCCAGAGCTCACCCCAGGTGAAAAAGCTTTAGAAGCGTGGTGGAGGTTACTAAATGCATCTTATGATTCTACCCAGAATATGCTGCGGCTATTCATGATAACTGTAGAAGCCACCCAAATTATTCAAGTCTATCCTGTTGTGCCCCTTGGATTCCAGATTGAAAAGGATTTGGTCATGTATTCCAGAGACTCCAATCGGTGGGCACTCATGAAGGATGGTGACTGGCAAACAGTTAATGTGCAGGGTTGTGTGAAGAGAGAAAACTTGGGTTTTATATGTGATGATAATAGTTTAGAAGAGCACCATGAATGCTTCTCTCCTCAACTTATAAATAATTCTCATTGCTCATTTGATGTAATTCAGGAGGAAACATCTACAGTTGTATATACTGGGAAGGGATGTATTTGTGTAAGAACTCCATGTGAGTTTGTAATCATTAATGGTCTTGTAATTCAACCTATGCTGTCTTATATTAATCGTTGTTTTTGTAATATTAGTGTGATTGTAGGATGTGATTTTCAGTTTCGGGTTCCTGTTTGGACTGTGCAACACATGAAGGCTTACCCCTCTTTGTATAGAGAGATCTCTCCTATCTCTCTTGGCTTTGGTCTTTCCACTCTGAAAAATCTGCTTTCTCACCCCTCCCTCAAGCAGGAATTGTTGAAACTCAAAGACATGGGTGAGAATGCAGTGTTGGAGATTCAGCACAGAAATCAGGAAATTGCTCATATTGTAGCCACAGTTAAGTCAGCTGGAGACCATGCTTGGTGGGAAGTGCTTCTTGGATGGTCACCAAGTTCAAATGCTATGCTAAATATTGCCCTCCATCCCATTGTGATGATTTTAATCTTCCAGGTAACACTGGTATTCATCTTGTTATTATTGATTGGGTGGATGAAACGGCAAACACGCAAACTTCATGATCTAGAAGACCAAATACGTGTGGCCAGAGCAAGGTTGTGATAAGGATATTTGCCAGAGCAAGTCCTGCCGAAGAATTGTTGCCATATTACCTCCATCGTGTGTATAAGCTTTCTTCTTTTCTGTTAATGGTGACTAAGCTGACAAAGTACAGTATTCCATCTAAGGACAAGGATGCTTGCCTTTCAGGACTGGCCCACCTCCTTGTGACATGAAAATGTGTTTTGGCTTTTGTATATATTCACACTTCCCTTTACCTTAGCATTACAGTGGTAATTTATCTAAGAAATAAAAAGTCATTTGCATTTATTCCTTCAGGGGCTTTTGTCCTGTAAAATGATTTGACTTGAGACCTCAGTTAATTCCTGCCTATTGTACTAGATCCTGTGCAGGACTGCATGTCATATAGAAGCTTTATTGGTGGAGAATAAGCTGATTCTGTAGCACCAGGAACTTGCCTGTTCCCTTGAGATGTTGTTTTATGATCTAATGTCCTTGGGAAGCTTTCCAGATATTCTGGCTATCTCTAGCAGTTGCACACACTTAGTAGCGCCTTCTCTTTTACTGCCTGTTCAGCCAGTATGATGGGTTGTCTGCCAACAAGATTTCCCTCGTCACCTGAGAAGGTCTGGGACAGTACCTAAAGATTACAGTGGCAGCTGCTGTAATATATAAACATGAAAATAATACACTTGGGGGAAAACATGTAGAAGTTACTATTGCTCAAAAACAAAAACATCCTAACCAATGCATATATTCTACATATGCTTCTTTGTAAAGTCAGTTATGAGAATAGACTAGTGATTTGTACATTTATGTACATAGGTAGGTACAGTAAATTGCTAATTTGTATCCTTACTTTTAATGGCAGTGAGTGAAGATAAAAATATATGTCATGATAGGATGATGCTTCTTTCTTTGGGTTTTTTTTAAAGCCAAGGTTTCTAGACTTGGCACATGTGCTGCTCCACTTCCCATACAGTGTCTGTTTTTGTTTTGTTTGGTCTATCCTTTCTTTATGGTTGCAGCAGGCAACATGAATACATGTGACTTTTAAAATAAAACTTTTGGGGTATTCCACATCATTCTAAGTAATGTAATGGCTAAGGCTGTAGATTGTGAGCCAGTAGTTAAATTCTCACTTGTAGGAAATGTTCTGTTCTCTTTCTCTCCTTCTATATATGAATACCATATAGGGACCATAGAACTTAGCTTTTATAGACTTTTGTAAGGAGTCCTGAAGTCATATATATGGAGTGTTGTAAAACACCTCATGTACGGTATATAAATGCAACATTTTATGTGAAAAAGCTGTTCTATCAGCTAAATCAAATGTAACAAAAATATACAGTTTGGGGAAGGAGGAGGAAGTTAGATTCAGATTAGATTAATGCAGATCCCTGAACAGAAATGTTTAATTGGCAGAATATCTTACACAAATAAAACAAGCAGTATTAAACATATTGACAGCAGACAGTATCCACATATTAAAGAGCCAAATGAGAAGGTGCAACCCTCTGTCCATAGTTTAAGAAGCAAGAACACAGTCATGTGACTGACAGAAAGTATGTGTTTAACTTAAAGCTGTGAGAAAAATGCAGTTATAAAATTGATTCTTAAAGGGCAGAATAAGTGGTTAAAATATTATGCTACAAAGAAATCAGACAGCATTGTATCAATTCATTTATATTGTGTAAAACATGCAAAAATTGTGTAGAAGATTTTTGATAGCTTCTTGTACATCAGTCCAAAATGGATCATAAATAGTAAATAAGAAGCAGGACACATGCATAATGTTTAGTTTTTGTACTTACGGGGAGAAGATATTGAACCCTGGGCTCCAGATAATCCAACTCTCAAACCACTATGCCTCATTGGCTCTTTATGGTTCTACTTTTATGGCAGGGTAAGACACATTGCTTCCTTCTGAATTCCCAAGTGCTTCAAGACATCATTGAGTTCCATTAATTTCAGTGAAATCTGTCATTGTAGGAACCTTGTTGAAGCTAAATAAGTTTAGGTCTCATCAGTACTTGAATGAAGATTCTCTGGGAGTCCTGTGTACAAGCTTATGAGTTCTGTTAAAGAAAAGCAGAACTTACTGGTAATTAATAAATTACAATAATATTTATATCTTGCCTTTTTTCAATAAGAATAAATAGTTATTGTGTGCCTTCAAGTTGTTTCCAATTTATGGTGATCCTAAGATGAACTTAGCACAGTGTTTTCTTGTCAATATTTGTTTAGTGGGGGCTTGCCTTCACTTTCCTGTGAGGCTGAGAAAGTATTATCTGCCCATGGTCACCCAGTGGATTTCCATGGCCAAGTGGGGATTTTAACCCTTTTCTTTGGAGTTGTAGTCCAACACTCAAACCACTACACCACACTAGCTTTCAAGAGTACATACCCCTTAACATTTCACAGATTAAAATTGATAGATCCTTGTATACTGATAGTATTGCTATCTCAAATCAAAAGTCACTCCTGCAGTGCCATTGCCCCTTATACATTGCTGATGATTATTCTCTATCTGCTTCAGGTAGTATATATGTGCTCTTCAGTAAAATGTCCTACACTGGCTTCAGAAGCATGGAAGAAAAGCAGTTGCACCCTACAATATATGTGCACATGATGATTTTTTCAAAAAGCATTATCTGTATTTCTCCAAAAGGCAAAATGAAGGTAGTGAGTTACTAAGGGCAGGTACCAGTGAAAAGAGACTGTCTCTGACAACTAAAGAATCATGAAAGTATATTACATGGTGCCAAGGAGCTAATGTGTGAAACAGAGGAATCACAGAAGATATGAATTCCTGGAGAAATTGCCCTTTCACCCTGAAGCTGTGAAACAGAACAAACACTAAAATATTCTAGTGCAAGTGTTGGCTCAAAGCTGGCTTAAGTTTAGGTGGTTAAGTAAATAACAGTTTTCTGTATGGTTCATTTACATTACGGTATATAGATGTAGTGAATAAATTCTTTGATTTAGCAGTAATTCCACAATAGGAAATTACAAATTGAGCTTACAATGAAATGTTGCAGTGTATCCACACCTCCTGGGCCTTTGCAGACTGCCAGAAATAGTGCACATTAAATTGAGGCACTGCCCTGGCTCAGTGCTAGGGAATCATGGGAACTGTATTTTATTGTGGCACCAGAGCTCTCTGACAGAGAAGGCTCAATGTCTCAGAAAAAAATACAATTCCCATGACTCCCTAGCCTAAGAGGAGGTTAGAGAAGCTACCCTTTATTAAAAATAAATAATATGTTTATTTCTGAAAATTCAGGCTTGTCCCTGAACACCTTCCTTTTTCTCTGTGGCTCCGTTTTGATTTCAGTTCTATTAGTTGTCACTGCCTAAATATGCAACTGTAGGAAATAATTTAAATCACTCATCTAAAAATCCATTGTGGAGATTTGCTTTAAAAACACAAAAGCTTCAGTTGGCATCAGTTGTTCACTTTCCCTCCACACATAAAAATATTGTAGACACCATCTTTTACTTTGCCACACTTTCATCCCATAAGAAATATATTCTCAGAGACAGAAATGGCATACAGTTCATGTCATTGATAACAAGCTGTGCAGTACTATGCTTCAAGCAAAATGGGAACTTATGGTCAAGTTTTATTCAAATACTATCTTGTGTTTGTCAAATCTACAGATACCCTTATATATAAGAAAAAATCTCTACTACGTTTAAGAAGAGGTGAATGATTGAAAGAGACCCAATAATGGTAGTAATTAGGTGGACAGCCTTCTTACTGGCCTTGCTCCAGGGTTTCGATTATCAGCTGGATGTTCTGCACTTAAACAGACATAACCTTTCCTAACATGGAAGCAAATCATAGGAAAGCCATTACCTGTTTAAAATTTGTGAGTACTATTAAAATGCTAGTATTAAAGAACTAGAAGCAGGACTAAAAGAAAGAGGTAGCACTTGGGAATTGTGTTTTCGTCATTTCCCAAAGCCAGCCATCACTACATTTTCTCCTAAGGGAAGGTCTCATGCAGTTCTGGAATGCAGATTGTGGTTTTTTGTCTTTTTCTTTTTCTTTTTCCCTTTTGAAAATTATGTATTAAACATTGCCTCTTCAGCTTTAAAAACCTGGTGAATGAAGGCACAACTGCAGCAATAAGGCAGGGGAGGTCTGCTTTATTGGGTTTCTTAGAGTAATCCAGCCATGAAATCCAAGAAGGACATATAATAACAGGTCAGTCCAACCCAGATCATAAGGAAGTGAAGGAACAGCAGGATAGAGGAGGTGAGTCAAGAGAAGAACCTGAAGCAAGTCAGGTTGAAAGAAGTGGAGAACAAGAAGATAACATGCACCTTAACCTGATGATTGGGGAGGCTCTCAAGCTGTTACAGGCACTCCAGATTTAGCAATAGCCAATAAACAGTATGGAGGGTCATGGCTTTAAACAAATGATTAAATAATCTCTGGCCGTTGAGATGTTTTTTGGATTCTCCCTTTCATCATCTCTGTCTTTTGGCCATGCTGAGTAGGGCTGATGGAAGTTGAAGTCCAACAATATTTGGAGAGCTATGGGTTGCCCAATCATATTAGTAATTTTTTTAAAAAATCACAGGAGTTTCAGACCAAGATACACTCTCAGGGCTGTTTAGTTACGTGAACACAATTTGTTGCACATACCCAGCACTTGTATATAGTATACACAGTATTTTCTTTAATAACTAGAAGTTCTGAGAGTTTACAGCGAAACTGTGCCACAAATGCTTGCACTCTCCTCTCCACCCTAACCTCCCCTCCCGTAATCACTAAGAATGAGGGATGGGGGAAGGTTTGCACTTATGGCAGATAGACCTGTATGCTAGATCACTTTTAGCTATGAATGAGAGTGCAGGAGGCACATTAAATACAACAGCTGGGTATGAGCAACAAATCCTAAACTTTGGATTTGTGAGGAGATCATAATTCAAGATGCTGCATTTGAGCAAATGTGGAAGTTGCTTGACTTGGCTAGTACAGCTGTTGAAATTAGACCAAACATACCAAGGGAGCAATGATTTAGCATGAGTGCACCTGCAGTTTATTTTAATTTTACTCCTTCTTCTTCTTTTACTGTTGATACATGTGAATGAGCCTCCCTTGTTCCTTGGACATTGTTTCTCACTACTTTCGTCTCTTATCTGCCAGACCCATGGGAAAGGACAGCAGCAGTCAGGAAGCTGAGATTCCTGACAGAAAGAAGAAGGAAAATATTCTCAACGCTAACACTTTTAAATTAGATCTCATTCTCTAACCAAGATGTTGTTACTGTGGGCAAGCTCTTCTGGAAACATGAATGAGCCTCCCTGGAGCATTTTTCCTATTGTCATTTCAGTGCTGCTAGCTGACAGTAGCAGAAAGCTTCTCTTCCCCACTCATTTCATCAATTAAAAAAATTCTCTCATGTATCCTAGAAGCTAAGCCCTAAAGTGCCTTAGGCACAATGTTCCTTTGTGTTTGTGCTGCTCTCAGCTTCCTTTACTGTGTTTTGATTACTTACTACTGTTAACAGCTGTTTTCCTACTTGCTGTGTTAGCTTTACTTAGAATGAAGGCTGCCCTTGCTTTTATCCTCTGAAATGGGTGAGGCTTTTAACTAAGGACTAACTCCACAGGAAACTCCACACACATCTTTGGAATGCAGAGGTGGTGCAAGAAAAACAGAGGTATACAAATATAGAATTTTTCCTGATTGGTGTAATGTATTTAACTTGGTAGAATGTAGCAATAACTATATGGATGACTTGGATTTGATCTAAAACATCTCACTTAAGGGGTAACTTTCACTGGTTTGTTTCCAGTGAGATATCAGCTTGATACTGTTGGATATTTGTTGCATTTGTGGACATTATTACTTCTGAGGAAATAGACTAAGGGCCCATTTGAGGTGGCAGAGAACCGCCCCAGGGAGTGGTGGATTGGGGCCATGGCAACCCCACACCTACCTCAACTCTACCCCCAGACCAGCCCTTTGGGCTGGTCTGCAACGGCCCTAAGTCTATGAAAGCTTATGCTACATCATCTTTTGTTCAGTTAGGGGGGAAGCACACCAGGGCGTCGGGGACGCCCTGGGACGGAATGCCGCGGGACCGCAGCCTCCGCACCGCGGCGCTCCGGCGGCGTCCCTGAAAGGAACGCAAAAATAGCGCTCCTTTCAGAAGTCAGGGAAAGTGTGCCCTAAACGCGTAGGGCGCACTTTCCCTGACTTTTCCGCCACAGCGTGTTCGGTCGCTGCGGCGGGAGGTTGCCCCCGGAGCGCTGGCCGTGCAGAGGGCCGGCAGCTCCGAGGGCAACCTCGGGAGGAGGAAGGGGCGCCGCTCGTGCGGCTGCCCCTCCTCTTCCCTGCCTCGAAGACGACTGTATTAGTTGTCTGCTGAGGCCCTTAGTCTCAGTTGCTACAAGATCCCTTTGCATATTGTATGTTGTTGTTGTTGTTATAAGAAAGTCAAGGAGGAATGAACAAAGGTAGGCTTAATGCTGAACATAAATAAAAGAAAAATAATGACCACGGAAATCTTACATACATTCAAACTAGACAATGAAGAAATTGAAATAGTAAAAGAATTCCTGTACCTTGGATGATCAAAATGGAGATACATTTGCAGCCAAGAAATAATAGAAGACTAGGAATGGGAATGGCAGCCATGAAAGAGCTAGAAAAGATCCTAGTGTAAAGATACACAGTTGAGCACCAACGTTAGAATTGTCCATGCTATTGTATTTCCTATCAGATTGATGGTGAACATTTTAGGGACTGAGTGTCCAAAATAAAAAAAAACCTTATGGCACCAGGTCTTACCCGGTGCTGAGGGGTGGGACTTCCAGGGGGACGGGACTTTAGGGGGGACTCCCATCCTGCAGGAGGCAGGACTTCCACCTTCTGGGGGTGGGACTCCTTTCGCCCCACCATCCTGGGCCTTCATCTGCCTCTCAGGAGGCAGATGAAGGTCTGGGACAGCTGGGAAGAGGAGGTACAGGTGCACCTCTGCTCCTCTTTTACCCCGCCCTCCATGTGCCGAGAAAAATGGCTTTGGATGCCATCTGTGGCATGTGTGCCATGGGTTTACTACCATGTCCTTATCACCATTTACAGATGTAAGAGCTAGACAGTGAAGAAAGCAGATAGGAAGAGAAATCATTTGAGATCTGGTGCTGAGGATGCCCAAAGAGGACTGTCAAAAAGACAAACAAATGTGTCCTTGAACAGATTAAGTCTGAAACCTCCCTGGAAGCCAAGATGATCAATCTGAGGCTGTCGTACTTAGGCCATATCTTTAGAAGGCAAGATTCATTAGAAAAGACAATAATGTGAGGCGGGGTGGAGGGAAGTAGAAAGAGAGGAAGACTGCATGCTAGAATAATAGACTCAATCAGGGAGGT